TTTTGAAATATATAATAAATATTATGAAAATTTTATTTTAAATAATAATTGAATTCCTGTGAAAATTGTATTATTTATGAAGATAATTGAATTTTGGATTAATTTCATCTATTTTTTTTTAATAATTGAATTGTTTTGCAAAATTTTATGAAAATAGTGGATATTAAAAATAATTGAATTTCGAATATTTTTTTGAAAATAATTGAATCGTTTCAAAGAATTCGATTATAAGTAGCAAAGCCTGTAATTACGAAAATTTTGTAAAATTTGTCCTCAAATTTTCAATTGCAAGAGCAGTATTTGGTTTTAGAGATCAAAATTCGGATTGAGGGATTAAAATTTGGTTTCAATTACCAAAATTCGGTTTCAGTGACAAAAGTTTCAATAACTAAAAATTACATTTGAAAAAAACACCAAACATTTTTGGTTTTAAGAAAACAAAAATGTGGTTTTAGAAACTAAACGTATAGGTTAAAAGGAAAAATACAAAAATTCCGTTTTTCGCATAACAAAAACTAGAAGAATTACAACGAAAAAATTAAATTAATACAAAAACGGAGACAAGAAAGGATTCATTTCTTTCGCCGGTTATTTAATTTGCAATATCTAGGAAGGAAAGAGAAAAGAGAGAGAGAGAGAGCGAGAGCAAGTGATACCCACAGAACGAATGAAAAGCTCTTCGTGTTTAGGAACTCTTTCATGTTGAAAATGAAACCTCACAAGTTTGTCCCAGTAATAGGTTTATTGTACATATAAATCGTAAGAGGTAGAATTTATTCTAAAAAGAAAAATATATTCAATTTAACTTAAGAAGCGATAAAAAAATACAAGATAGAAATAACTTTTAAAAGAAAAATACCCAAAAAAACGAGTACAAAAAATGGGAAAAAGAAAGAAAGAAAGAAAAAAGGAAATAAGAAAAAAGAAAGAAAGGAGAAAGGAATAAAAGAAATAAGAAAAAAGGAGAAGAGAAAGAAAGGAAAAAGAAAGAAATAAGAAAAAATAAAGAAGGGAGAAAGAAAACAGAATATAAGAAAAAAGGAAGAGCAAGAAAGATAAAAAGGTAAAAAGAAATATTTAAAAAATGGGCCAAAATCACAGCGGGGAAAAAGCAGCGCACGTCTAGAAGAATATTTATTCAATTACCAAAGGAAGAGACGTTTTACGTCTTGATTAAAAAAGACTGTTTTAGAGAAGAACATTTTAAGGGGGAAAAAAAATCGATTCCTGACTTCCCCTTACGTGTTACAAAGCCAGACACCCCTTATGATTAATTTAAGAGAGAAACGTGCTCCAAGTGCTTGCTTCAAATCTAAGGGGGAAACACACATCGATTTTCATTACAATTCTAATCTTGTATCTTTATTCCTTTCTTCTTTTAAATAAATACGAATATAAATAAATATAAACAAATATAAATAAACAAAATATAAAACATTCAGTAATCAGTTGAACGATTTACTTATAAATAAATAAAAATAAATAAATGTAAACAAATATAAATAAACAAAATATAAAACATTCAGTTGAACGATTTACTTATAAATAAATATAAATAAACTATAAATAAACTATAAATAAATAACTATAAATCTACATAAATATAAATACAAATAAATAAATATTTAAAAATTTAAAATAAATAAATTTTAAAGAAAGAAGAAATAAAGAAAGATTCAAATATATCCAAACGCGATTAATAAACCATCCCCAAAAAATAGATTCTAAACTAATCACATGTTACCAGGCGAACAAGATTTTAATTAAAGATCAATTTCCACGCGCCATTTAAAATAAAACTCCCTAAAAATAAATTCTGATAAACCATCGGGTAAGTTACAAAATATATATAATAAGTACTCAAAATACGAAGAGATAACTTTAAGATGCGAAAGAAGAAAAAAAGTGAAGATATACAAAAAGATAACTTTTAAGATGAAAGAAAAATAAAAAAAAGAGAATAAGATTTTGAACGAAATTACAAATTATAAACATTTTACAAAAGAACAATAAAAAGAACAAAAAAAGAAGAGTCACAATAACAAGTTTAAAACGGTCGCGCATATATATTTAAACGTGAAATTAGATTTTATCTAACCGCAAAAGTATATAGATTAAAGTTCATATAACAATGAAGTGCAGTTAAGTCATATTGCACACAATGCGAAGATTCACGTTATATATATGGGCAATTTCACGTGAGATTTAAGTCGACCTCTTAAAATCGGCCAAAAATATTTTTTTTCTATTCTTTATTGGAAAAAAACAGATACGTATTTTTTTATTTTTGTTTAATTGTCCAAATTTTCGAGTTATGAATTTTCGAAATTTTGGACTTTTAATTGTAGACCTATATATTCAGTAGCTTATAAGTCCGAAAATATTGAGTTTAGGAAAAAGTTGTCAAAAAATGAAAGTTTTAGTTTTCTTTCGACTTTTAAGAAATGTGAACAAAAAATTTTTCTTTTAATTTTTTATTAAAAAATTTTTTTTTTTTATAAACAAATTAATTTTTTTTAACTTTGGGCTGGATTTTTTTTCATTTTTTTTAAATTTATTTATACCTTATAATATAGAGAAGATTTTCCAAAATGTCCCGAAATGGGCCTGATGTGTTAAATGAGTTTTAAAACATTTTCAAAAATCACTTGCAAGCATCACAGTGGGATTTTTTTACAATTAACATTTTAAAACTGTCTACAGCGTATAATTTTTAATCTATTTAAGTGTTTTTTGTTTTAAATCGAAGGATCTACGCTGTAGACAGTTTTAAAATGTTAATTGTAAAAAAATCCCACTGTGATGCTTGCAAGTGATTTTTGAAAATGTTTTAAAACTCATTTAACACATCAGGCCCATTTCGGGACATTTTGGAAAATCTTCTCTATATTATAAGGTATAAATAAATTTTAAAAAAATAGAAAAAAATCCGGCCCAAAGTTAAAAAAAATTAATTTGTTTATAAAAAAAAATTTTTTAATAAAAAATTAAAAGAAAAATTTTTTGTTCACATTTCTTAAAAGTCGAAAGAAAACTAAAACTTTCATTTTTTGACAACTTTTTCCTAAACTCAATATTTTCGGACTTATAAGCTACTGAATATAGGTCTACAATTAAAAGTAAAAAATTTCGAAAATTCATAACTCGAAAATTTGGACAATTAAACAAAAATAAAAAAATACGTATCTGTTTTTTTCCAATAAAGAATAGAAAAAAAATATTTTTGGCCGATTTTAAGAGGTCGACTTAAATCTCACGTGGAATTGCCCATATATATATAGAGTATAATGCATATTATAACCGTTCTTTTAATGTCGCATAATTTTACGAGGTTTCGTTTTGGTAAACTACTCTCGGTTGTTGTGACACTTTTTTTTTCTTTTTATAAAACAGCGTCAAGAAGAAAGAAGAGTGCGCGCACACGTCAAGTAGAGACCACCATAGGTTCAATTTAAAAGAAAAACCTCTCTCGTTCTTCTACATCTTCTTTTCCTCATCTTTTTTTTATTATTATTCTTTTCTTATTATTCTTTTTTTTTTATTATCCTCTTTTTTTCGTTTCAAGTCTAAGAAATGTTTTCCTTCAAATTTAAAGCAAGTTTTCATGTTTATATATGCGTATATAAAAACTTTTTCGCAATATAAAAAGTTTTAAGAAAGTTTTTTATTTAAAAAAAATTGCCTAGAAAATAAGAGGGGGAAAAAAATTGTCAAAGAATGAATTCGTCTAGAACGAGAGAAGTTATTCCTAATTTCCCTAAAGAAACAAAATTTGAAAAATTCAACCCTTAGTGAGGGGGTGGAAAAATGGCATCATCACAAATTCAACAAGAACATTGTAGGGATTACAGGTTCTTTTAACACATGTACATACATATGTAGTGAGAGAAACTTTTCAAACTGCCATATATATCCTAGTGGGGAATTCTTGTTTCAACGAGAAATGAAGCTTTTTTTTTGAGGGGTTTCACCCTAAACAGAATATGAAAGAGGAATAGGAGAGGGGGGATGGTAATCCCCCATCAGATTTCACATCATCTCGCATAGTCGAGAGACGCGTTTTCTATACAGAAATTCTTCAAAAATGTCTTATGAACGTTTCTCTAAAGAAAAAAGTAAAAACCAAAAAAAGAAAGAAGCAGAAAGAAACGAAAAAAAAACTATAAGATAATCGCGCGTAAAAGAGGAGAAACCAGCATGCTTCTTTCATGAAATCACTCTCCGTAACCGTCATGGCCCGGTCTTGCCAACTCGTAATTTTAAACTTATATATATATATAAGAGAGAAATGTAATTCTTGAATAGATCAACGATCCTAAGTACCTAGCTGCCTCGTATATATCAGCAATAAAGATGCAGATTTCCCTGCAATAAAGTTCTAATGAGCTAAAATTTGAACCCTCCTTTGGACCACAAGTATGCTGAATAAATTGCATCTACTTTGAAACTAAGAATCTCTTCAACTTTACTTTGGGTTCGAAAAAGTAGTCATCATCAATCATCAAAGAGGGAGATAAGACCCAAAAGTATTCGAATATTTGCAATTTTTCAACATATCCTACGTTTTTTTTAATAGATTCATATTCAACTATTCATATTTTAAAATTATAAAAAGTTATAATATAGCTATAAAAAGTTAAAACTAGAAAGTCAAAAATACGAAAAGTTTAAATTATATATACGAAGAAAGGTCATTATTTTCGAGTCAAATAAAATAAAAGTCTCATTTATTTTAACGTTTCGACAACATTGATTGTCCTCATCAGAAAAGCAGTTAAATTATCAAAACACACGCGTAGACGGTCGGATGTCACATTATTTATATAAATTATACATATTATTAAAATGTCAAAAAAATTATAAATTTTGTAAAAAGATAAAAAATGTTATAAACCCTTGCCTTAGAATTTAAAACAGATCTAATAGTACTAGAATCAAATAAACTTAATTCGAAATTAAAAACAACCCTGAAAAAAATTATTTCACTAGAAAAAACAAACCTGAATGCCAAAAGAACCAGGTGAAAAAATAAAAATCCTTGTATAAATAAAAACAGAACCACTTTTTGTTTTTTTTTAAGAAAAAAGTTCACAAGCACTAAAACAAGAGACACTGGGGATTCACGCAAAAAAAAATGTCTACTCAAAAAAGAAATGTACTATTTTTTTTAACTGAAATATTGTTTGACTGGTGCCATGTGGCCACTTGGATCAACTTAGCTGTACTGTGCGGTACAAAAGCAAGCTTTCCCGCCGTGACGAGGGACCGTCCGCGTTTTCCCCTACTCTTGAAATTATTTCCTCCTTCTACTACTATATACCTCACCTTCTGTACACCCCAAGTACTTAGGTACTCACTGTAGTGCATTCTACGTGATACCACGCGACCAAAAGCCACCCCTGTTTCAACCTCTACTTCCTTTCTCTCTCTCTCTCTCTTACTCTCTTAACCCCCCACCTCATACCCACAAAGGCCATCGCGAAGCGAACTCATGTCACTCGTGCTTTGTCAAGAACAGACTCTACATTAAGGGCGCAGACTACTTGCCATGCACTTTTTGTCTTCTTTAGTACGCACTTGTCATCAGACGGACAAAATAATTTAACAATATAATTTTAAAAAATAATATTTAATTTAATTTATTCTGCTCTATAAAATATTACATTTTGTAACAGAAGAATTCCGTTTACAATATTTGATAATATCAGCTTTTAATTTTTATATTACTCATTCAACATGAAAGAACTCAACAACAAACTATTTTATTATGTAAAAACAAATCTTTTTAATACATTCTTCATCGGGTGCATTACACATCTGTGTCATCGCTTCACTGTATTCATCACTCAATCCCAATTTTGCCAAATAAAAATTTCTGTATGTATTGTAAATTGGACAAACGAACAAAAAATGATATAATGTTTCCCTTTCCTTCAAATTGCAAACCATACAAATTGATTCCTGATCCCAGCTGTACGAGTTACCCTTACATGAAAATCTAAAATAATGTTTATTTGCTAATTTTAATTGTATAACAATTTTAGTTAAATAAAAATTACGTTGTCTTAATAAGTAAAGAGCATTTTTATCTTCAAGCGATCTTAATATATTTTGCATTCTTGAACCAGAGGTTTCATATCTTAGAATATCTGAAAATTTTAGATATCTTTCATACCGATTCAATGATAAACCTTAGAAGCAAAAAATTATAGGTTATGTTTGAAATTTTTAAAATGAAAATACAAAAAAAAGGATCAACTGTCAATATAAATCATTGTTATTTAAGTCTTCATTACAACTAAAGTATTTAATAAACACTGATTTTAAATTGCAGTAAGTAAAAAGAAACTTTTAATTAACTAAAAAGTAAAACTAACATAACCTTAAACTGATTTGGATCTAAGGTCCCTTTCTGCCCAGCTGAAAAATCTTCTACAAGATCGTGTACACAATCTTGCACAAGATCATGTACAGGAACATTGACCCGAACCTACACAAGATCAGCAAGTGAACTTGTACAAGAAATTGGAACCAAGAACATGAACAAGAACATGCACGTGTACATTCTTGAGTGGCTTTTGAGTTCGAGAACATCTAGGCGAACATGCACCTGTTCATGCACATGTTTGTGTGTGTATTAAAAAACCGTTGGTTTTAGGTTTAAAATTTAAGAAAATTTAGATGTTCTCGAACTCAAAAGCTACTCAAGAATGTACACATGCATGTTCTTGTATACACGTTCTTCTTCATGTTCTTTGTTCCAATTTCTTTTACAAGTTCACTTGCTTATCTTGTGTAGGTTCGGGTCAATGTTCCTGTACATGGTCTTGTGCAACATCGTGTACACGATCTTTGTACAAGATTTTTCAGCTGGGTGAAGATCGCGTCACATATATAGTTTTAATATTATTATAATTATAATAATCATATATTCTGACATAGGAAATTCAGAGCAAAGTCATAAATTTTTATTAAAAGTTCTGAAAAAAATTAAATTTTTAGAATTCATAAGAAAATTCTGAATTTTTGTTTCTTTTTTGTTTGACTCATAAACTATAAAACTACCACGAATTCTAATACAAAACATTCAATTTCTGCGACAAAAATTTCTTTTTAAATAATTTAAATCTTGAACTATATCATAAAATAAATAAATTTAATGAATAGTATTACTTAAATATTTAAAAATTAATTCAATTTCAAAAAAGTTGCGTTTACAATTTTCATAAATAAATGAACTTCAAAGGGTTTCAATTTAAAATTTTATAAAATTTCAATTTTTAATGAATTTAATTAGAAATTTTAATGAACTTAGATTTTTGAAGAATTCTAATACTTCAAAATCTTCTAAAATTAGTTACATTTGTCAATATATATCTAATTAATTATTAAAAATAATGGATTTATAGAAGAATTTTAGTTAAAAACACTAAAAAATTGAATTTTGAAGAAGTTACAAATAATTGCAGAAATTCAATTATTTTCAAAAGTAATAAAATTATTATTACAAAATTCAATTATGTATGTTCAAAATTTACAAAAAAATCTAGACAAAATTCCAATTATTATCTTTATAAATAAAAAAATTCTTCCTCAAAATTCAATTATTTTAAAAAATTAGTTTTCAAGTAATGGAAATTAATTTCAATTAAAATTACTTTTAAAATAATGTTAATTAATTTTAGAATAATTTTAAACAATTAAATTAGCTTCTAAATAATTTAAATTAATTTTGCAATATTATTTTATCTAAATGAATTTCAAACAACGATCAATTAAACAGAAATAAAAGAAAGTTATAATATGAATAACAATCATTTATCACTTTTTAATTGAATATAGAGACAAAAAGTAGATTTAAAAATAAGTCCTTTAAACTTACGTGCAATGCGAAATTGGGCGTTGAGTTTTCTTCTTGTTATATTATTACGATTTGTCTTTACTACAAAAACCTTCCCAGCACTGTAAAAAGAAAGTTTCTATATTATAGAGCTAATTTTCAGGTAGAAAAATAGAAAATTTTCTCCAAAAATTGGTTCTAAATTGATAAAACATATTTTTACAGTCTGTAGAGCATTTGAAAAACTTTTCCCAGATGATGTTCGACATGCATGCCAAAGTCATACTGATGAAAATTTTCAAATGATTCCTTGATTATTTTTGTTTATTTCAAGGAATGTTATATTCTTGAGGATCTTCATTTCCGTTGAGTCTTCGGTGCAGAAATTCTTCCAGGCTGAAACAAATTTTTTATTAGTATAAAATAAGAGAAATAAATAAATATTTATTTTATATTTAATTAATTAATAAATATTTATTTTATATTTAACTAATTATTAAATATTACGTATAATTAAAATTTACTTACACTGTGAAGTTGACTTTACTTTCTTCTTCGGTTACTCTGTTTTTATTGTCGATTTACATAAAACTCTCTTTTAGTCTCTACAATTGTCAAATGAAACCTAATTTCAAACATTTTTAATTCTCAGAGGGAAAAAATGTATAAAAGAAAACAAAAAAGAAAAAAAATATTAAAAAAAGAGCAAAACAAATTTTTTCCATCATGCGGGTATTCTCGAAATATTTCTCTCCCACAAATAAATTCGATCCTGCGGGGCGCAAAACGAAATACTTACGTCACTGGTAAAATGTTCACAACACGAGAAGTTAGATCGGAACCGTTCGGAGCAGCTCGGCAAGCGTGCCTCATGGAAATGCACAGCACAATAGTTCCATTTGTGTATTCTCGTCTGCTTTTGTAAATGAAAAAAAATCCAAGTCACTTAAAAAATCAATTAAAAATAAAATGATATCCGTTGAAAAAAAATATTGAAAAGAAATTATTGCTGTTAATTGTGACAAACTTTACTGTTTATACTATATCGTTCAGTGTAGATAATTTGAATATTTTCGTGATCCGAACGGTAATAATTTGTGTTGCTTGTTGAAGGATCGCAATGGCGGATTGTGAGGCAGAATTATTAATAAATTTGGTTAAATCAAAACGTGCAATTTACGATTCAACAATGATGGAACACGGAAGTCGGAGCCTCCTGGAAAAATTATGGGAGGAAGTTGCTCAAGAAATGCATAAATCAGGTTAGAATTTTTTTTACATGTTTATAGCCTAACCCCTCTACCAAAAAGTTGTTGCTGATTTGAATCTCGTCGTTGGACCTCTATGTACTTAATTTATCTGTCAAAATTTAATTTTCGCTCTTAAGCAGGCTCTTAAGATACTTTGCAATAATAAATAGAATTGAAAGAATTTTGAAATTAAAGCTCAAAATCGAAGCTCTTAATCTACATTTCTAACATAACCTCAAAATTTGATAAAAACCGGTTTATAAAAACGAAAATATCATCAATTTAAAAATTTTTTTTTGTAAATATGCTACATTTTTACAACTTTTAAATATAAAACAAATTTCAGTTGCAGAATGCAAGGCAAAATGGGCATCACTTCGAAATTCTTATGCACGTGCATTGCGCGATGGAAAAACGCGAAATTCAGGCTCAAGTGGTCGTAAACGAAGAAAATGGTATTTAGCCGATTCGATGGATTTTTTATATAATTTTATGAATCAACATAAACCAAGTAGTACAAGTAATAATACGGTTGAATATTGGGAGGAGAAAACTAATAGTCTCGATCAAGAGGAAGTTATTGAATACGAGAACGAAGAGGAAGTTGAACATGAACAATTAGATTCAAAAATTGAATATGAAGATCCAACATCAACTGGTCAACAACAGCAACAACAACAACAACGTGCCAGTAATTCAATATCAAAAATAATTAAACCCACAATTATTAATGACGATGTTCTTGGACCAATAATTGAACATTTACTAACAGAAGTCAAATCATCGAGTGATAAAGAAAATCCCGATTGGAGTTTTTTTAAAAGTTTAATGCCCGATGTCGCGAAATTAACGGCAAAAAGACGGAGAAAATTTAAGGAAATTGTTCTCACTAATCTCAATAAACTCCTCGAGGAGGATGAAATCGAGAGTGCCGAATTTGTTCACAGAAAAGAATTTTTACATTAAGAGTTTTAAAAAAAAGAATATAAGAGACACCTACTACTGTTTAAAATTTCATTTTTCGTTTGAATAATCTGTCAATTGTTCGAAAATTTTGGTTTAAAAAAATGTTATATTTATTTAGAATATTATTTAAAAATAACATAATCGTTAATTCAATTAAAATTAATGAATTGCGCATAAATGTTTAATTTTTTTTAAACTAAAACATTCGAAAAATAACAATTATTCGTCAAAGTTTTTTTTTATATGTCGAATGTATCATATTTTTCCTTCTCATCTAAGAATTTATAAACAGAAATTCTTTTGATAGCATTTCAAATGGAAAAAAAGTATTTTTTACTATGTATTCACTATTTTTTTTAAAGATGCTTTGAACTCTTAAAATTCTATATTTTACCGTATGAATAAAATTTTACACAAGTACAAAGAAAATGAACCAACAAAAATGATAAAACGTAAAAGAAATAAAAAGAATATTTCAGACAAGCATCCAAGACCAAAAACAAGAATATTTTTCTTTTCCATATATATAAAAAAAAGTAAAATATTATAAGAGAAAAAATTTCCAACCTTAAAAGTGCTACATTTTCTTTATGATAATGAATTGTTTTCAAAAATTTAATTTAAGGAAATAATTTATATTCATAATTTTGATTTCGTTTTAGAAAAAAAACATTCATGTATGAAAGGGGGGGGTGAGAGATAGGGATAAAAATAAACTGTGATTTATTGTATAAAAGGGATTAATATAAAAAAAAGATATATTGTTTATTAAGAGTTTTAATAATTAATAAACTTAAATTTCAAAAGCAATAAAACGATTTTACATTAGAATGCCTTTCCAGTAAAAAATTAAAGTTATTTACTATTTTTTCAGAAGGGGCCGTCCATAAATTATACGTAAGACATTTAGGGGGAGGGTAGGGGGGGTCAGCAATAATTGAATTATCAAAAATCTTTGAATGTAAATTTATAATTTTCTCTATTTTCAATTACAAATTTCCGAAAATTCAAATGAATACAAAAAATAATTACATTTTAAAATATTATTTTTAATATTTTGCTGAAAAAAATCATGTTTAAAATTTTTAATTAAAATTCATCAAATTAATAATAATAAAAAATGGATGTTGTCTATAACTTTTTAAAATTCCCGCGCGAATATCGAAGCAGACGACACGTACGTGAATTTAGACAAAAATGGGCATTTTCAGGTATAAAATGTTTGTATAGCAGAAAGGAGATAATATCCGGCCACGTTATAAAAGTTCTCCTGTCTTGCGTGTGATTATTTTTGTTAAAAAACCCGGGTTTTTTTTCAGTGAAAAATAATAAAACGTAATTTGTGATTTATATATAAATGTCTTCTAATTAATAAGGAGATTAGATTAAAGAAAAATTTTATTCTTTTTCGACAAGGAAATTTAAAAAAAATGAACTTTTGGTCAGTGTGTTTTCTTTTTATCTCGTTTCTTGCCACGATATTACATGTCAGTGGCATCGAGTTAACCTTCGAATTGCCCGACAATGAAAAGCAATGCTTTTATCAGGATATTGAAAAAAATATTTCATCTACTCTAGAATTTCAGGTAAATTTAATTTTTAAAAAGGGGAGGGGGATCCCCTTTTTCTATTTTTTTAATAGTTTTAAATGTCACTTTCAGTTGGAAAAAATTGTTAGGTATTTATTTTACTATAAAATTTTCAAACAGGAAAATATTTTCCTCTTTAACTGGAGAAAAATTTAGAAGATTCTTTTTTTTTTCCTCTTCAAAACAGGAAGGAAAAAAGTTTTAAAAATTCATTGTTAATGTTTAAAGTGCCACATGTACAAAATTTTCAATTTACATGTGTTTGTTAATTATCCGCGATAAGAATATGACAAAGGAATAATTTAATTTTTCCCCAGATAATTTTCTTTTAGTTCAGTATTATGGGAAAATTTTAAATATTCCAAATAGTTTAATTTTTAAATATTCTAAATAGTTTAAGTTTTAAATTTAATATTTATTTTTCTTTTAATTGGGAGATTAATTCATTTTTATGCGACAGGTTGTAACCGGAGGTCAATATGATGTGGATGTGACGCTAGAAGCGCCGAATAAGGAAATTATTTATCGTCAAGTGAAATCACAATTTGATTCTTACACTTTTTCGCCATCAACGTCAGGACCCTACAAAGCCTGTTTCAGCAATGAATTCTCGACATTTTCACATAAAATCGTTTATATGGATTTCCAGGTCGGCGAGGAACAACCTCTGCCCGGAGTTAATGAACACGTAACAGTGATGACTCAGGTGAAATCTTATAAAACAATATAAAATATTTATAAAAACTTAAATATTTTTATTTAAGTTTTTAAAAATATTTTAGACAATTATTTTATTTAAATAATACATTTAAATATAGTAATTATTGCAATATATAATTACGCTAATTATAAAAAAATTAGTTGTGAGCTGAACATTGGTCTTAAGGTTCGGTCACTATAGGGCCGAACAAAAAAATAGTTATAAAAATAGTTTAGTATTAATATTTTTTAAATAATATTTAAAATATAATTTTGTCTTAAGGTTCGGTCACTAGGGCCGAACTACTATTAAAAAAATACTTTAGTTATTAATATTTAAAAAATAGTTTAGTATTAATATTTTGAAGATAGTATAACATTAATATTTTAAAAATAGTATAACATTAATACTTTAAAATAGTTTAATGTTAATATTTTTAAAATAGTTCAATGGTAATATTTTTAAAATAAACTATATTTAAAATTTTAAAGATAGTTATAACATTAATATTTTTAAAATAATCTATATTTAAAATTTTTAAAATAGTTTAACATTCATATTTTAAAAATAGTTTAACATTATTACTTAAAAAATAGTTTAATATTAATATTTTAAAAATAGTTGAATATTAATACTTTAAATAATATTTAAAATATTTGAAATAGCATTTAAAGTATAATATTGTTTCTTAAATGTATTCCAGATGGAATCGTCATCGCAAGAAATTCACAAGAGTCTATCGACAATTCTCGATCTACAAACTCATCATCGTTTACGTGAAGCGCAAGGACGTAAAAGAGCAGAAGACTTAAATGAACGCGTACTTTGGTGGTCCTTACAAGAGACCCTCGCAATTTTAATAATCAGTATTGGACAAGTGTATATTTTGAAAAATTTCTTCACCGACAAGAAACCATATCAATCACTTTCGAAAATGTAAATTTAAATTTAAAAAAAAATAGAAAATGTCATTTTTTTTTCTTTTTTTTATTGCTGTTAATTGTGTGTATTATGAGAAATCCTTTTTGTTATTTTTGAAATCCAATCATGAAAAGTAAAAAAAAAAAAAAATAGACTGGATTTTTAATTTTTTCATATAAGAAAATGCGTGTCATGTGTGTAACTTGAATATTAATTAATTAATTAATTTATAAAGAAGGTGAAAAAAAAGTAGACATTATTGAAGGTGCTCTCACATAGTGTCGAGTTTTTCACTTATATATACAACAAAAAAAGGTGTAAAAAAATCATTTGAGATCCTATATTTATTTCTCTTGTAGAACATCGACAGACTGCAAGTTATATTTTTTGGGAAAAAACCGCATAAAAAAGTGATTTTATTCGAAAATTTGTATCGCTTTTTTGATATCTTGTGTATGCGATTTGTAATAAATAATTAAAACAGTTGTTTAAATTTTCGTCTTTTTATTATTTTTTAAAACACTAATTTTTTTTCCAAATAGAAAATTTTCAAACTTTAACTTTATTCTTTTTTGCAATCCTTTGATATTTTTATTAATAATAATAAATAAATATTTATATTAAATAAATTTCAGGAAATTTTTCTGGATTTATAAATAAATAAATAATAAAATTATTTATAGTGGAGTTTGACATAACCTCAAAGAAATTTTTTCTTTATTATAAATTACGCTAATTAATTTTGCCAATTTTAATTATTTTCCATTTTCGATGTGAAAATAAAATATAGAATTTCATTAAAAGAAATATTCTCTACAATAGTTTATATTTCAAATCAAAATTAAATAATAAATTAATTCCAAAGTTAAATATTTGGTTTAAAAATATGTTAACTTTTGGAAAAAGAATAAAAATCCTTTTTGTTCTACTTAATTTTTTAGGTTATGTCAATATATAAAAATATTTTGATCTTTCCATTCGTATGTATCAAAATGACGAAAAAAACCGTTATCTTTTTTTTCAACATAATAAACTTGTATTATTCTAATAACTGTATTATAGAAAATCATAACCTTCAATTTTTACTATTTTTTCACTCCTGCAGTGAAAATTTAAAAAAAAACAAAAAGGCGAAACGACAAAAAATTGCCATATTCACGTAAATTGTTAATTGGAAAACAATTAAAAAGCCGATTATTATTTTCTTTTTTCATTCGCTCGCTAACACGTGTATACTGACAATTGAATTTTTGTCGAATGTTTTTATTTTCTACATTGTTGTATTAATAAAAATTCTACTTACAAGAAAGACTTATGTAGACTTGTCGATGCGTCGCCACACTTGTTTTTTTTTAAATAATAAACACACAACTTTTAATAATATTAAAAACTTTCGAGAGAGAAAATAAATACACTTTCAAGAACAAAAACAAAAATGATCCGATGTTCTGGGTACATTTCGATATATCGAAGATGACAAGTATCGAAACTATGTGCAAACAAGTAGACAACTTCAGAGTGAAGGGGATTTTGAAATATGGTAAGTAAATGTAAATATACGTTTATTTTAGTTTAAAAGGTTAAAAAGTAATAAAATTTACTATAAATAAGACTTGTTTCTGTCATTTTTCTAAATGATGAATTTTTATAATTTATAACTTTCTCTAGACGGAAATACGTGTCCATTTAAGACAGCCGGGTAAGTAGTTGTTTGTCTAATCCACCTCCTTACCTCTCGATCCTCTGGATATTTGAACATAACCTTAAAAATCTTGTTTTATATATAGAAAAGGTAGAAAAGTGAGAAAAAGTTCGTAAACAAAACGTCAAACAGCTGGAAACTGTAGTTATCTTTTTAAAAAAAACAATTAATAGAAAATATTAAATATGGAGGTAATTAATTTATTCTACAATATAAACTTCCGGTTTATCAAGAAATTTAACTGTTTCTCTTTTCTTTCAGGAACAAAATCTACCGATTGATATTAATTCAAGTAAACTATTGGAATGGTTATTAAATCGTCGACATTGCAAAAAAGACTGGCAAACTCACATTTTGTCAATTAGGGAAAAAATTAACAATGCCATTCAGGATATGCCGATTCATGAGGAAATTGCCAAACTCCTTTCTGGAACACGTAAGTATTTTAAAAAATTGTACAAAAATGAAAAAAAAATTATTTTATTTAGACAGTGTTTTTATATGATTTTTATGTTTCACCTTTTTCCCGATTCTACATGACCAATAATACAAAGCTCAATTCTACACAAAGATAAACTCATCAATGACCGATTCTACAAAACATAACTGTATTAATGTAGACAAATAATTAAAGAACAAAATTCAACAGACCGACCCTACAAACTATAATTGTACTTCGAATTTAAATATCCAAAACTTTAATCATCCACAGACCGATTCTACAAAGACCGGTCCTACATAATAAGAACAAATTAATTTTCTTAATCATCTACGGACCGACTCTACACAGACCGCCTCTACATACAATCAATAAATAATTTTTCGCCAATTTTTAATTGACCACAGACCGATCATACATAAAAACAATAAATCAATATTTCCAATTTTTAATTAACCACAGACCGACCCTACATAAAAAAAAACAAATTAATTTTTGCCAATTTTTAATTAACGACAGGCCGACTCTACACAGGCCGACCCTTCATAAACACAATAAATTAATTTTTCCAATTTTTAATTAACAACAGACCGACTCTACAAATACCGATCCTACATACAATCAATAAATAATTTTTTGCCAATTTTTAATTAACCACAGACCGACACTACACAGACCAACCCTACATAAAAACAATAAATTAATTTTTCCAATTTTTAATTAACCACAGACCGATTCTACAAAGACCGACGTTACATACAATCAATAAATTATTTTCGCCAATTTGAAAATTGTTTAATTTCAAAAATGTTTGAATTAAAAATTTTTGAAGATCTTAATTTTTATGAAAAAATAATAATGATTAAATATTTATTTGAAAAAGAAGCAATGGAACATTTTTCTGAGTAATAATTTTTAAACTGAATGAGAACATTCTTTAGAGTCAAGGAGAAGTAAGAATTTTGTCTTGATTTCAAGGGAAAATTACATTTTTTAACCTGGAAAATTCAGGGAATTGGAAATGAGCAAAAGCTTAGCAACCCTGTATTTGTTTTTAAAAAGAGTATCAGAATGCGAACGTCAATTATTGTATTTTAATGTCTAGTGTTAAATAAGCATAAAAAGTGTAACTCCATTGTTATAAATTTTAGTTTTAAAACAATTAATAAATTATTATTAATTATTAATTACAAATTGTAAAGAATTTATAATATTTTTATAGACATAAATTATTTTCATTGCAAGAAGATTGTTGAGATTCTTAAAGAGACTGAAGCCGATACGAAAAATTTATTTGGTCGTTATGGATCGCAAAGAATGAAAGATTGGCAGGAAATTGTCAAACTTTATGAGAAGGATAATCTCTATCTTGCCGAAGCTGCACAAATGTTAATAAGAAACATTAATTACGAGGTTCCAGGCTTTAAGAAGCAAATTCAAAAATTGGAACAAATACAAAACGTGAAAAAAATTGAATTAAACATATTACCTTTTTTTAAAATAATTTTTTTGTATTTTTAATGAATATATTACTTTTACAGGATTTAGAGAAAAAGGAAATCGAATACAAGAAATCGGAAAATATTGCCCATTCGGAATTTAACACCTCTTGTAAACAATTGGGAATAAATGGTAATTGTATAAAAAAGGAATTAGTTGAAAGACTAACGGAACTTCCGGAAATCTATAAACGCGTAGCGAAGAAAACAAAATCTCTAGGAAATGTTGTTGAATTTTATAATGCTTTTGTGGAATTTACACTTGGAAGGAAACACAGCGGTGGTTGTATTTCACTTGTGCAATATGTTGTTGGTAAGAAAAAAAACAAATTATTATTATTATATTAATTAATTAATAAACAAATTATTATATGAATTGTTTTTTGTTTTCTAAATTTATTTTTTCCTTTGCAGAAAAAGGAAATACTACAACGTATGAATGGATTTATGGAGAACCGCCATTGTCTGTTATTGAAACTCCATTGGATATTAGTCTCGATGATGAAAGTCAATTCGATGACAATGTAAGGAATTTTCAAATAATCCCTGTTGTCTGTAAGGCAAAAAGTAAAAAGCTGCCAAAAATTGGTGCTTAATAAAATGTTTGGAAAATTTAAAAAAAATGCTCATTGAGCGCGAAACTTGTTAACGGTATTTCATGTCAAGATGTTATTCATTGCTGTGTAAAACTAAGACAAGGTTCGTGCTTTCTTGAGAAAAACTCCCTTTTAAAGCAATCTTACACGTCAATTTTGCCATTGTTTTCTTAAAGGTATCAAACTAATACCAATTTGTCTCAAATTGATACCAAAATTAGGATTAAATTATTATTTGATTCAAGTATTGATATCATTTTGTTGAAATTTGGTAAAATCTTTTAAAAATAATTGAATTTTTGAAAAGTATAAATAAAAATGATCAAATTTTTGGAAGAATTTTAATTATAAACAGGACCATGATTTTTCAAAATTTTTATTTTTTTAATGTAATTTTTCGAAAATAATTGTATTTCTTAAAAGAATTTTTGTATAATTTAAAAAACCAAATAAATTTCTTTTTGATGAATTTAAATTAAAAATTTTGAACATTATTGTTTTCTTCAAAAAATGTTAAAAATAATTCTAAAATATTATTATTTTTGGAAATATGTAATTGAAAATATTAGAAATCATGAATTTTAAAAAATTAGAAGCTTACTTTCATTTTTAAATTTACCTTTAAAGATTTTTCATTAAAATTTTTGGATAATTCAATTATTTTCAAAATTTGCAATTAAAATTCTTCAAAAGTTGATTTTTCAAAAATTATAACAAAATACTTGAAATATATGAAATAAATGAATTATTTTCAATTAAGTTTTACAAAATTTTAACTATTCAAGGAAATAGGGTACGATTAAAATTTTTAGATTTAAGGAAGAAATTTATATTGCAAAAAAAAGGAATTAACATTTTTTTTCCGTATGCAGATAGATTTTGGTGATAATGAGAAGGAGGAGGGAAATATCAGTGGTTTGGATTTGAATGGAGCAATTGATTTTGGCGATGTTAATTTAGCGGCCGAGGGTGATATTGATTGGGGCGATGTCAATGTAGAGCAAATTGGAGAAGGTGAAATTGATTATAATATTTCGCTCGAATCGGGAATTGTTGTCGAGGCAGACGGTCACGACGGTGGAGTTGCTACTGGAAAGGAAGCTCTCACAGTCTTGGACAATCCCTCAACGAGAAATGAATTTATCGATCAACTTTTTGAGGTACAGGAGAAAATTTTTTCATTTTGAAAAAATAAATACAAAAATAAATATTTTATTTATTACAAAATAATATTACAAATAATATTAATATTTATATTACAAAAATAAATATTTTTTAGTTGGAGGCATTCCTGAAATTGAGACTCTACGAATTTAAAAGTGACAATAATAAAAATTTGTTAACCATGAGTCAAATGCAAGAAGCCTCGTCAATTCTTCAATTGGCAACCTTGGACAGTACACAAAACATGCTGGACAATTTACAAATTATTTTAACGGAAATGTTGGACTCGAGAATTCAACATCTTTACAATATTAAACATTCACCTCGGTAATTTTTTTAATATTAATTAAAAATTAAAAATTGATAAAGAAAATAAATTTTTGTTTTGAAGAAATAAAAATAATTTTTTTTACAGATATGTGGATACATTGACAGCGACTTTAAAGCAGAAATTGACTATGGTTGAAAAAATGAAGAGTTTACAAACAACGATGCAAAAGAAGAAGGATGAGACTCGACAGCAAATTGTCGATATTCAACCAATGTTAAAATTAGTAGTTCAAAGGACTAAGGAACTTCAAAATAAGGTAAGAATTATAAAATAAAAATTACTTTTTCAACTTCTACAAAAAAATTTGGCCAACGAAAAAGTTTTCGAAATTAGAAAAACATTGTTTTTCTAATTTCGAAAACTTTTTCGTTGGACAATTTTTAGTTACTTTTTCTTTTTTCCTCAATTACCAAATTTTATTTGAATTTCTTCCTTTATTTGTAATTTCATTTCAGGTGAAAATGTGTTCTTAATAAAGTGTTTGGAAAATTTATAAAATAGCAAGAACAGAAGAAAAATTTCTGTCGGTTAATTTTCTATTAGAACTTAAATACTTTTTAGTAATTAAATTAAATTAATTAAATTAATTTTTTAGTAATTATTAACAAGTAATTATTTCAATTCACAGATTGAGGAGGACATATCGAAAAAGTATAAAAACAGAAGTGTTTACTTAACGGGAGGCGTGAATACTTTGTGAATTTCTTTTTAATCTTAAAGGTTAAGGGTTTGTTGCATATTTGAAAATATTTTTAATTTTGCATTTTAATTTGTTTATACAACAAAAAATACACTGTTTTATTATAAATAGAATGACTATACATTTATTTGAACAATTATTTATACATTTATATTCATTATTTTTAAATTATATTTTTCTAAAAATTCCAATTTTGAATCTTTTTCATTTTGGTGAAAAAGTTTTCAACATCGGGAAAATTGATGAGAATTAATGAGAATATGTAAAGGGAAAAAAAGAGTTTAGAATCAAAATTTAAAATTCTTTAAAGAAGTCAAGTGCCCGTGGAATTTCAAAATCTACGTCACGTTTTAATAGTATGAAGCAGAGCGTGAAATAAAAAAAAAATGTAAATCGTTCGATATATTTCCTTACGTGAAATGCAGACGAAATGGAAAGTTTTATTCTTTGGGAGAAAGTTGACTATTCAAAATTTTATCTTAATAGTTCATGAACCACAATTACGTTCTTTTTAAATTATAAAAAATAATAATAATTAGTAATAAAATTTCATTAGTTATAAAGAAATAAAATAATTTTTCAAACTAAAATAAAAATGGGTACTTAAATTTTAGTTAAGTTCTATTTTATTTAATTAATAAAATTAAGTTCATAAAACCAATTATAGAAAAACTAATTAAAAAGTAAGATTAAAATTTTTTATGACAACTTTAAATCTTGTGAGATTTTTTTCTCACCTAAACGTAAGATAAAAATCTTTTTGTCGCAAATCGATTGTTATCTTCTCCTCCTGGGATCTTGGCACAGAGACCTGGACCTTTGTCATTCATAATAAAAAGGAGAGTTATCTTCATATATGTGTTTCACGGGACATGTATAAATTAGTAAATTACATGCTTTTGCTTTTATGTTAACTCTCAAAAGCACTTTTCAATTCTACTGTCAAGAACAATTTCCGCAAAAAAAACGAGAGAAATAAGTACATAAAATTTATACTTTTCATCATTAAGGCAATAGGACTCTCATTTTTCTAATTAATAGTAATTTTGTAATTATTTTTTAATTGCGAAATATTTCTTATTTTATAAAATTACAAGATTTCTTTCTTTCTTTTATTCTATTTACAATAGTAACATTTACAATAGTAACATTTACAATAGTAACATTTACAATACTAACATTTACAATAGTAATATTGACAATAGTAAAATTTATAATTGCTGTACAAAAAATTTATTTACATTTCAGTGAATATGATTCTTTGAACAACTAGACGTAGTTCTATTATGTTTAGGAATAAATTGACGCTTTATATTATCACCACAAGATCTCTTAATATCTTGACAATCAAATCTTGCGATACACTTAGCAAAGTCTCGATCGCATCTGCATAATTGTTGACCCCATGAAAGTTTTTCAAATCTATCCTCTTCATCATGATCTGAAAAAAATTCTTTTTTCATTAAACAATTATCGTTTCCATTGTTATAATACGAACAGAGATCTAAATTCGTATTTAAAACAAAAATTTTAATCTAGAAAACGTATTATTTTTTCAACTTACCACAAATTGGTTCATTTCCCTGGCATCTCCAATTGTAATTCCATACTTTGCCAAGTGGACAAGAAGTAGTTCCATAACATTCGTCGTGTAACTGACAACACCTGAAATTGTATATATTTTTTATTATTTTATTAACTTATTTAATATTTATTAATAAATAAGTTCCTAAGGTAGCAATTGCTACGCTTACAAAGAAAGTATTTGAATATAAATTCTTTTTTTCTGAGAAACAAAAAGTAATTACCGGTCGATGCCATCGATAGCTTCTCCAGAACCACCCCATCCACAAAAACAACCATAATTATTGTAGGAAAATGGTCCACAGTTACTGACACAGTCTAGTACGTAATACAAATTCCAAAGGGCTCTTTTGGATCGTCTGTGACTAATTAAAAGCAATTTTTAATATAATTTTTGCAAGCTTAAAAATTATATTTAATTCGTACTTCTATAATTATTATACTAAAAGCACTTAATCGTGGACATTCGGAGCGCATGCACTGGAGTGGGGATAATAAGAGTGACAGAGAAGTTTGCGTTTCTCTCTCTCGCTCTCATTGTCCCCACCATGACGCTTGGGCTCCGCTTCCGCTTCTAAGTTAAGAATAAAATAATGAATAAAAATTAATTCTATTCTTTTTGAAAAAATAACAACAATATCAATAAAAATAATAATATTTTTAATAATAAAAATAACAATAATAATAATTTAAATAATGACAATAAAAATAATAATATTTTAAATAATAAAAATAACAATAATCATAATTTAAATAATGACAATAAAAAATAATATTTTAAATAATAAAAATAACAGTAATAATAATTAAAATAATATCAATAATAATTATTAACTAGAATAATCTTCGTATTTTATTCTTTCATTAATTCTGTCTGTCCACACTTTGAGTTTGAAGTAAGTTTTTGTGTATGCTTCTGTTTTTTCTCATTAGAAAATATTGTTTGACAAATCGAAATAATGCAGGTATTTTTCATAATTTAATAATAAAATAATATTTGAAATTAGAAAATTTAAACAAAATTATGATTAACAAATAAATTTTGTTTATTATATGCTTTTTTATAACAAATTTCCTTGGACTGATCTAAATTATGCAAATTTTCCTCCTTTTTATTTATAAAAAAATATTAGAAAAATGTTAATTGTTAAAAAAAATTATGATTAAGAAATAGGAAATATATGCTTAATTTTTATTTCTCAATAACAATATTGTTCACAAACTGATTCTTTTCTTTTGGGAAAAAAAATTACTTATTTCCGTTTCTTAATATTTTTGTAGAAAATTCTCAATTTTCATAAGGAAATAATTTGCATCATTTCTATTTCTTAATTACGATTGCTTTAATAAAATTTAAAGTTTTTTAAAAATAAAGGGAGAAAAATGTTTAAAAAATGCTATTTGTCAATTACAAATTTTAATTGAAAATGAAATTAAAAATCTTTGAATTTTTAGAAAATAAAGAAAAAAATTTTACTCAAAAAAATGTTCTGTTACATTTATTTACGAATTTCTTTAATTGTAAAATTATTCGTTCTTTGAGAATTTTCAAATATAATTTAAAATTCAATTTTACGAAATTTCGATTATTCGGAAATTCTTCTCTATTAATTATATATTAGAAAATAAAAACTTTAAATTATTTAAAAAAAAAAATTAAACTTAACTTTTTCAAAAAAATTAATTTTTCAGAATTGACAGTTAAAAGTATCGAAAATTCAAATTTTCAAATATTTTAATTTGAAACCTTTTCAAAATTATTCAATTATTTAAATACAAAAGTAAATAATTTAGCTATTGAATAATTGAATGTTTTTTAAAATTTAATTCTTATAAAGAATTTTCTCAACAAATTTTTAAATAATTGAATTCTTTTGACGAATTTTAATCAAATTTTTAAGAATAATTATTACATCTTTCGAAGAATTCGATTAAAATTGTACTAAAAATAATTAAAATCCTGCGATGAACTTTATTATTTATGAAAATAATAATTGAATTCCTAAAAACAAATTTATTATTTATAAGAATAATTGAATTCATAAAAGAAAATTTATTATTTATGAAAATAATTAAATGTTTGCATACAATTTTATTAAAATTTTTTTTTAATAGTTGAGTTCTTTTGGGAAATTTATTGAAATAGTAGATAATGAAAATCATTGAAATGAGGAAAATTTTTGAAAATAATTTGATGGTGGAGAAGAATTTATTATTAAATTATGATTTTGACGAGAATTTTTTTTATTTTGAACATAATTAAGCTTCTCCAAAATTCAATTTTTTCAAATGTCTTTAACTAAATTTTTTCTATAAATCCATTATTTTTAATAAAATTAATCAAATACATATTGACAAATTTAACTAATTTCATGAAGAATTTGAATTATTAATATTTTGCATAAAAATCTAAGTATTTTTAAATTACCTACTAATTAAATTCATTAGAATTTAAATTTTATAAAATTTCAAATTTTGAAATATTTAAGTAAAATTATTCATTAAATAATTTCTAAGTAATAATTTTATGATAGTTGTTCATTGTTAAGTTAATTGTTAATTGTTAATTGTTAAGTTATTTGTTAAGTTAGGAAATTATTGTCAGAAATAGAATTCATATTTTATTTTTATGAGAAACAGTTTAATTTAAAAAAAACCTTGCTATAGTAGTAATAATAATATAAAAATGTTAAAAGAATTTTTTTTTAAAAAGCCACATAATTTAAATAATAAGTAATCTAAGATTTTTATTATTTAAATAATATAAAAACATAAAAATGTACCCAAGTCCTAAGTGAAGATCCTGCTCCAAAGTTACATTTCTATTTAATTCCATTTCATGGTTGCTTGGAACTGTTAAAAAAAAATTGTTATTAAAACAACATGTGACAATTAATTTTTTCAAAAATTCTAATTTTATATTATAATAATTTCATTTCAAAATTTAAAAACAAATTGATGGCTTTTTTAATTGTCTTTACCATTTTCTAGAACGTATCCATTGGCACATTTAAAATTTTCAAATATTGTAAAAATTACAATAATGGAAAGAATGCTCAGCTTAAACATTATAAATTAATTAATTAATAACTCTACAAAATTTTAACACTTGTAGTTTAAATTTTTTTTTTTTTTAATAACAGTAATTTGTTAACTCAATTTCTAAATCGACTTTGATGCCATTTATCGAAATAGGCAACGCTTTATATACGAAATCGAAAACTATTGAATAGAAAATAATAATTATAATAATAGTAAAAATAGGAAATAAAAATTTTATCTTAATTGTTACAGAAATTTTGATTCAAGTTGTTAAAATATTTGTGTCATTGTCTAATGAATGTCATACAATTTTCTACGTGCGTTTATATGGGTGTGTAAACACGATACTGTACTTTTTTATTTATTCCATACAAAAAGTCTAATTTATTTTAATCTAATTGAATTAATTAGCATCAAATTTTACATAGATAACAAAAGGTTATGACGCAATTACTATTAATTTCCGTATTTAAATTAAATGAACACTTACGTATATGAACTCAAACTTAAAAATAGAAAAACCTTTTTGATAAGAAATTATAGAAGAAAAGGGAAGGGGCAACCTTTGAGGTTGTAATTTACGCTTTAAAATTTTTAATAAAAACTAGTATTGGTAAAATTTCTTTCATTAAAAATATGTTTTAGTAAAACTTTTTAAATTATAAGAAAAGATATAGAATTTTTAGTAAAATATTTTTGGGATTAAAGGCTTGACTGTAAATATAAATATAAAATAAATATATATGTTTTTTTTGTATTTAAAAAATATAAGTTTTAGTAAAATTTGTATTAAAATTGAATTTGAATTAAAAAGGACAATGAAAATTTTGTTTAAAAAATTGTTTATTTTAACTCTTAACATTGATTGTAGATTGTTTACAATTTATTTCTAATTTTTTTTCAATCTTAACTCGAGATTCTTTGCTATCTATTTACAAATATTATTTACAATTACTATTTATAATTTATTTTATTGCTATATTTTAAATAACTTTTCGAGTTTTATTTAAAGACCAACGGAAAATAGAATTGTGAACGTGAAACGTGAGATAGAAAAAGATACAGACATACTATTTCTGTCCTTTTCATGCTTTGCGTTCGCAAATTACTTTCAGGTACAATATTGTGGATAGGCCTTTAAACATGCGCGCGCAACAATTTTCGTAAACTGAAAGCTTTTAAATGTGAGAGAGAAGATATTTCTATTCTTTTCTCTCTCATGTAAAAATTTACAATTTACTATTACAGATTTTAGTTTACTTATTCTTTATTTTTTTATATTGGATCATTTGATAAAACATAATGATACCAATAATGATAATGACCATGGGCACGACTATAGTTTCTATGCTGATGAAGTACCCAGTGATATTGATACGCTTCGCATGTAGTTCCTGCTTTTACTGGTTTGGGAACAAATTCAGTTTGATTTACTTCATAACCTAAATTTTTACATTTGTTCTCTGAGTCGATACAATCGTACTTTTTCACACATCTAGCAAAGTATTCGTCACATCTGCATAATTGTTCACCCCATGATAAATCTTCAAATTTTGTAAATCTATGATTATGATTATAATAGTCTGAAAAATGAATAATAATACCATTAATATTTTTTGTGTAATTTCACTTAAAAATTAATAAACATAACCTAAAATATTTTTCACGCATAATAAGTGAAGCATCACACAAAAATAAAAATTGAAATAATTTTATTACTTAATAAATTGACATGAAAAAAAATGTTAATAATTATCAAAACATACCGCAAACTGGATTACCATTGATACAACTCCAACTGTAATGCCATGCTTTGGCTAATGGACAAGAAACACGGCCATAACAATCGTCATGCTGCTTACAACAACTGAAATTTACATGTGAAAACTGAATAATATAAATAAATATTTATTTTAGTCTCTTTTTTTTAAATATAAATAATTATATAATGTGATTGATGAATATAATAAAAACGTAATGTGTTGATGAATGATAAAAAAATATTTACTATATTTGAAAGACTTTTTAAATACTTCGTTAAAAAAAAAAAAAAAGAATTATAAAAAATAAAAATTTATATTACTTATCAATGCCATCGACAGCTTGTCCAGAACCACCCCATCCACAAAAGCAACCATAATTGTTGTAGGAAAAGGCACCACATTCATTGCCGCAACGTAATACGAAAAACAAATTCCAAAGTGCTCTTTTCGATCGACTGTGACTGAAATAAAGAATTTATTGTGTAATGACCTTAATCGAGGGAGTAGAGAGAATAATGTGGTTGACAGAGAAGTTCACACGTTTCTCGCTCTCACTCACATTACCCCCCACTCTTCGCACATGCGCTCTGATTCTTCTAAGTTGGGAATTAATAATAATCAGAGCCAACGTTAACAAACTTCATTAATTCATTTAAGAATTAATAAATTAATTCTAATAATTATTTATAATATTAAACATCATTAATAATTATAAATAAAAAATGAATAAATAATTTATCATCTTAATTAAAGTATGCAACTGCAGGCAGACTTCTTCTTTAATTAATTCTATTCTTTTTGAATAATACATTTTTAAACCCAAAAATAAAGTAATAATATAATTATAATAATAAAAATAATATATAATATAATTCTAATACAGAATATAAATAATAATATTAAAAAATGATAAAAAAATTGTATTAATATTTACCTTACTCCTGTTTCAAGATAATTATGCCCTAAAGTTACATTTCCATTTAATTCCAGTGGATAATTCCTAACTGTATCTGCGTTATGAAGTAAAAAAATTTTATTAACAATTATAAAAAAATAAATAATTAAATGCAATAAAAAAATTGAATAATTCAATAAAAAAATTAAATAATTAAATACAGTAAAAAAATTTAATAATATTAAATACAATAAACAAAAATTAAATAATTAAATATAATAAAAAAATTAAATTATTAAATACAATAAAAAAATTAGAAAAAATAAAAATATTTTTTTCTTCAATTCATAATTTTGAAAATTTTTTTTACACTTATAAAGTAAGAAATTCTTTTTAAAAAAATTAAAAATTTATTACAAAATTGTTCTTACTATTTCCTAAAATGAATCCATTGACTGGATGAAAATTCTCGAGTATTGTAAAAATTACAATAAATGAAAGAATTAGTTTCAACATTTTATTTTTCTCAATTCGCAATTATAATATTTGCAGTATTTAAAAAATTGTTAATTATTTCTTAACTTTTGTTAACTTTTAAATTAATTTTCTGATATCAATTATTTTAGTAACAACTCTATATATATACGAAATAAATTTCCTGATTTTTACGGAGGTGAATATGATACAATAATAATTTATTTACTTTATAATAATTTGCTTAATTAAATTGAATTACTTAATAGAACATATTACGTAGATATTATGCATAACAGTTGAAAATATTTCCGATTTCCGTATAAAATTTACATATGGAATTGAATATTTCCGCATTAGCTTAATATAAAAATATAGTGAATACAATAAATTAATATTTGACTAACTATTAATATTTCTGGATTAGATAATATTATATCAATTTTTTTTAATTAGAAAAAAGTTTTAATTTTTAAATTTCAGTTTCAATTTATTTTTTTTTAATTTTTTGTATTTGTTGTGGGGTCAAAATAAGTGAAACCGGCCACTTGAAAAATTTTTGTCCCCGAATTTAAAGTTATCTATGGTTTTTGATAGATATATGAGTAAACTTTTACCCGCTAAAATATTTTTCAAAAATTTTATTTATTTTGAAAGTTATCAGGTGTTAAACTTTTAGGTTACTTTTTATTCTTTTCATTATTACTCCGAAACGAATGAAGATAATTTCAATTTTTTTTTTGGAAATTAAAGCTAAAAGTCTGTAGTTTAAAGTGCAACTGAAAAAATTGCTGTATAATAAAAATTTCTAATTGTTATTAACAATTATTTTAAACAATTGCGATTTAAAGTATGTTCTCAATGTCGGAAAAAAATCAAACTATACTCATGTGATGCGCAAAACTCTAACGAGTAAATTAAAAAAAAAAAAAGTGAGTAACCTCTAAAATTACAGAAGTTATGCATATTTTTCTGACGACGCGCGGGAATTAACTGATTCGCAAACTCTCGAGCGCGCGGGAATACGCCCGCGCCCGCTCCCGCCGCACTGCTCACACTTGTGTTTTCAAACAATTTATGTTAACAGAGATGGAGAAGTAATTAAAATATTATTTTCTTACTGAATAGTTTATTAATATTTTTACTTTTGGAGTAATTATATACATAAAAACCATTTTGTATGTACTCATAAACTGCTTTGCAGTTTTTATGCTTTGATAAAAAACTTTTTTCGTGGGTCTGATATTCTTGAATCGTACAAAAATCGAAATCGATATTGTTTGTGTAGAATTTCATCAAAAAATTTTTTAAATAATTGGATTTCTAAATAAAATAATTAAATCATTTGTCACTTCTCCAAAATTCAATTTTTATTAGTGTTTTAACTGAAATTTCTTCTATAAATTCGCTATTTTTAATAATTTATTATTTCTTAAAATTGTATTCCCATAAAGAATTTTATTAACAAATTTTTAAATAATTGAATTCTTTGAACGAGTTTTAATAAAATGTTTAAGAATAATTACATTTTTCGAGGAATTCGATTATAATTGTACACGGAGAAAAATATAAAGTAACTTTTACTACTTTTATAGTAAAACATTTCTGATAACTTTTACTACTTTCGGAATAAATTTACTCCGAAAGTAGTAAAAATTATTTGACTAATTTTTAGTAGTTTTCATGGACGACTTTTCCCCTTTTCAATTAGTAGAATATTACTAATTCTTAGTAAAATTTTACTAATGTTTTAGTAGAAATTCACTAATTAAAAGTCACTCATTTCACTAAATGAATTAGTAAAACTGTTTTATCGACTATTAATAAAACAGTTCTACTAATTGTTAGTAGAAATCTACTAATCAATTAGTAAAATTCACTATTTGTTAGTAATATATTACTAAATCATTTGGTGCACGACTTTTTGCCATTTCATTAGTAACTTTCTACTAATTCAGATTTAGAGAGTGCGTTTACAATTTTCATAAATAGATGAACTTACAAATGATTGCAAAAATTCAATTATGATAACAATTTTTTTTAAATTATCGTCAACATTTCAATAAACTTAATAAATAATAAAATTCTTCTCCGAATATAAGTTATTTTCAGAAGTTTTCCTCAATTCAATGATTTTCAAAATCTACTATTTTAATAAAATTTTCTAAGAGAATTCAATTATATTAAAAAATAATTTTAATACCTACAATTCCAGGCAAAAATTTAATTATTATTTATTATTAAGAAATAATAAATTATTAAAAATAGCGGATTTATAGAAGAAATTTCAGTTAAAACACTAATAAAAATTGAATTTTGGAGAAGTGACAAATGATTTAATTATTTTATTTAGAAATCCAATTATTTAAAAAATTTTTTGATGAAATTCTACACAAACAATATCGATTTCGATTTTTGTACGATTCAAGAATATCAGACCCACGAAAAAAGTTTTTTATCAAAGCATAAAAACTGCAAAGCAGTTTATGAGTACATACAAAATGGTTTTTATGTATATAATTACTCCAAAAGTAAAAATATTAATAAACTATTCAGTAAGAAAATAATATTTTAATTACTTCTCCATCTCTGTTAACATAAATTGTTTGAAAACACAAGTGTGAGCAGTGCGGCGGGAGCGGGCGCGGGCGTATTCCCGCGCGCTCGAGAGTTTGCGAATCAGTTAATTCCCGCGCGTCGTCAGAAAAATATGCATAACTTCTGTAATTTTAGAGGTTACTCACTTTTTTTTTTTTTAATTTACTCGTTAGAGTTTTGCGCATCACATGAGTATAGTTTGATTTTTTTCCGACATTGAGAACATACTTTAAATCGCAATTGTTTAAAATAATTGTTAATAACAATTAGAAATTTTTATTATACAGCAATTTTTTCAGTTGCACTTTAAACTACAGACTTTTAGCTTTAATTTCCAAAAAAAAAATTGAAATTATCTTCATTCGTTTCGGAGTAATAATGAAAAGAATAAAAAGTAACCTAAAAGTTTAACACCTGATAACTTTCAAAATAAATAAAATTTTTGAAAAATATTTTAGCGGGTAAAAGTTTACTCATATATCTATCAAAAACCATAGATAACTTTAAATTCGGGGACAAAAATTTTTCAAGTGGCCGGTTTCACTTATTTTGACCCTGTGCTTTAAATGTAATTTTTGTATTTTTTTGTACTTTTTGTAATGTTTGCAATTTTAATTCTTTTTTATTTCTTTTAATTTATTTTTATTTTAAAGAGATATTTTTTTTCATTTTTTTTTATAAAAAATAAAAATGTTTTAAAGACTTCAAATTTCCATATAATTGTAAAATAATTTGCATGAAGAATTTTTATTTTTTAATTATGTTTTCTATTATTAATATAAAATTATTATAATTGAGGGGAAATATTGAAAAAAAGTGTGTCTCGAGTGGGAATTCTTGAAACAATTCTTAATGGAAATTAAGTGACAAAATTAAAAAAAGAAAAATAATGAAAACGAGATTCATAAAGTCTAGTTTTTTTCTTTCCTTTTTTTTTTACTTTAGCACAAGGTGAAATAACTACTAAAAACAAGAGCTTTTTCTCGTTACATGGGAACCTTTGTTTCTTTATTCAGTTTGCTTTTTAATTTACTTCAGAATCTACATGAACATTCTTTAAAGAGTCTCGTTTCTTTAGTCTAATTTTTCTATTTTTGCTCGAAAAAAAGTATTTTTCTCCTTTCATTAATAATTTTATTAATTATTAATAAAATTCATGGATATTAATAATTAATTTATTTTACTTATTCAATTAATATTTTAATTAGTAGATTAATAATTTATTTAATTAACTAAATTTTTATTTTTTTTAAATTTTAATTTATTAATTTTATTTATTATTGTAAATACCTATATTTAACATTTTATATATTTATTATTATTAATTATTTAAAATCTGAAAATAATTTAATGAATAATTTAATTTTAATCTTTTTAAAATCGTTTAGAAAATTTATTCGAAAATAAGTTAAATAATAGGATTTATATTTTATTGACGCATTATGAAGTATTTTGATTACGATTTCATAAGTTATTCTAAACGCAGGTGTAAAATAAATTTACTCTAATTTTATTCACCAAGTGACAATGACATAAAAATACAAAAGTAAACATAATATTTTCTTTGACACAATTTTTCTCTGAATTAATTAAAAAAATTTCTTTTAATTATAATTAAAATTTTCGTTTTAAATTTGCTGTATAAAATTACAATATTTTCTTTCAAATAATTCTATTTTAATACTATAAAAATTGTTTGAAAAAATCATCAGCTTGAAGAAAGAACAAAATTTAACAACAGTTGTTGAAATTATAATTTACTAAAAATTTAAATTAATTAATGAAAAATTTATAAAAAATAATTAAATTTAATAGATAATTATCATCTAGAGTATTATATTTAATTATTATTTAATAATAAAAAAATTGCCTAGGAAAAATAAAATGATGGTTGAATTTCTCCACTTGAGAACGCCAAGGTCATGACCAGGTGGCGTGAAATCTGGTTTTATCAACGAAACTGCCAACTAGCGGTGACCTTGGCGTTCGCAGGTGGAGTGTAGCGCCTCCATATTGAATCTCAAGTTATATTCGTAATTCTCTAATATTATTTATAAACGTACGGGATTGAGAAAAAGGAAAAATGGAATATAAAAACGATACGACATGGTTTATTATAAATAATTTTCATTTTATACAAATAATTTTTTTTACGCTCATTATAATAAATAATGGTAACTTTTATTGTATTCAGAAAAATAGGGTTCAATGGAAAAAAGTTTACTTTCTTTTTCTTTTAATTTAATTAATAAATCATAAATAAATTTTGAACTAAACGCCAGGGCGATGATGTGCAAACGGCTTTTTTCGTTGGACACGGATAATTTGATAAACATTCGGCAAAATCACGATCACATTCGCATAATCGTTGAGCGCACGATCCTGAACCTCCCCATTTTCCGTGCTCCACGGCTAAAAAAAAAATGCAAAATTAAATCTTTTCTAATTATAAATAAAATTAAAAACTAAATTAAAATTTTTAAAATTAAAAACTAAATTAAAATTTTTAAAATTAAAAACTAAATTAAAATTAAAAACTAAATTAAAATTTTTAAAATTAATTTACTAAATTAAAATTTTAAAAATTGAAAACTAAATTAAAATTTTTAAATTAAAATGAGAATTAAATTAAAATGTTTAAAATGAAAATAAAAATTAAATTAAATTAAAAATTTTAACATTAAAATGAAAATTAAAAATAATTTTTTTCACTTCGTAAAAAAATTTGTAACAAAGTTATTTCTTTAAAACTTATTTGAGATTATAAAGTTTTGTAATTGAGTGTGAATAAAAAATATTCTAAACGAACCACAAATTGGTTTTCGACCTCGGAAGCACTTCCAATAGTAAGGCACTAAATATTGCAAGAACATTGGACAGTCAGTAGCGTCGTAGCATCGATCGTGCATCATACAACATCTGTAATTAGTCGTCAAGTAAAAATTCGTACTTATTTTAAATTCTCTTTAATTTGACTTTTCAAAATAAAACCAACTTTTTCTCGAATAAATTATAATTAAATAATTTATTATTAATGCTGAATTTATTATTATTATTATTATTATTATTATTATTATTATTATTGTTAATTATTTAAGTAATTGGAATAAATAATTAATTTATTATTATAATTAATTAATATTAATTTAATTACTGTAATTAATTAATGAATATTAATTTAATAATTATAGGGTAGGGTGGGGCATTACTATTCTTGTTTGGATTTTTGAGTCTATAAAATGTATATAAAAAAAAATAAAAAAATGAGTAGAACCGTTTGAAAGCTTGACTTCTTAGCTACAATTTTGCCATGTATCATTTTGCTGTAACTCGATTCTGTTCCGAACTGCAGCGATTTTACGAAAAAAAAATTTTTTTGATGTCGAAAAAAACGAGGGGCGTAACTATTCTTGCAGCTATTAATGATAAAATACTAAAAAAATATAAAAATTAATTTGTTAATTGGAGGATTTTTTCTGGTTTTTTCTTCCAATTTCTTACCATTCTAACCTAGAAACAAGCACACAAAAAAAAATACACTTTTTTGTAGTTTTCGCTGTCATCAGTGGAAGAATAGTTACGCCCCATCCGCACATTTTTTGAAAAAACACTTGTAAAACTTTTGAACAATAGAATATCAAAAATCCATTATGATATTCTTGTTCAGCACTAAATTTGACTTTAGAAATAATTTTTCCGATAATTTTTCCGACCGTTTATCACTATTTACAATGTCAGACTAAATGAGTGAAAACAAGTAAGCGAGTATATCAAAATCACATTTGGGTACCTAACTCCAATGATAGATGGCGCCAGAAGCTCAAATGTGGCGTACAATGTTCATTTCACATGACAAGTATACAGTGTAAAAAAAACTTTAATCGGATGAATAGTTTTCTCTCCAGAACTAAAGAATAGTTTCGCCCCGCGAATAGTAATGCCCCACCCTACCCTATTTAATTAATATTATTTTATTTATTATAATTAATTATTATTAATTTATTTATTATACCTAATAATTAATTATTATTAATTATTTGTATTACAAATCAAATTAGTAAAAAAGACTATTAATATTAAATGTTCAAGATATTAAAACTAATTAATATATTTAATACAAAATAATTGATTTAAATAATGAAATTAAATAAAAAAAAATTTTTTTTCTCTTTCATTTTTGTTGCTACTTTTTGATTTGTTTTAAATGCATAATAAAAAATTTATGCTTACCGATCGATGCCATCGGTAATGAATCCAGAGCCTAGAAATCCACAATAACAACCATATCCTTTGTAGGCTAAAGGATTACATCCATTGGCACATACGATCATATTATACAAATGAATGACCCCTCTTTTATATCGTCTTTGCTCTTTATTTGGAGAATTTGACCTATACATGTGGAAAAAAAAATTTTAGTACCTATATTTCTCATTGTTTTTTCTCTAAAATAAAAACTGTCCTTACAGAAAACTAAGAAAAAAGTGAAATTTGGCTAAATAAGCCAAATGTATTGATTTAATTTAAAAAAATTTAACTGAATTGGCCAAATTTTTTTTGTTATATTAACAAAATTTTTTTGAAATTGCAACTATAATTTTTTGTAAAATAAACAAAAATTTGACTATTAAGCCGAATTTTTTGAGTCAGTTAGCTAAAATTTAGCTGAATTGACTAAAATTTTGTTGAAATTAACTAAATTTTTGGTAAAATAAAGAAAAATTTGACTATTAAGCCGAATTTGAAGGTTCTTTATAAAAAATTTGGTTAAATTTACTTAATTTTGGTTTAATTGAATAAAATTTGGTAAAATATAATAAATTTTTTTTCTTCTTGGCTAAACTTTGGTTAATTGAACTAATTACTTTCTAACTAGATTAACAGTTAGAGACTAAATTTGTTATTTAAATGAACTGATTTTTATGTTAACTTGAATCAAATTTTGATTAAATTAACTTAATTTTTTTGTTAAATAAACCAAAATTTGGCAAAATGAACTTTTTTTTTGTTTAATTAGCCAAACATTTGGTGAAATAGACTATATTCTTTGTAAAATTAAACACATTTTTGTTTGTATGTAGTTGACTCAATTTTTTGATAAAATAATCCAAAATTTGACTATTAAGCCAAATTTGAATATTCTTAATAAAAAATTCGGCTTAATGGGCATAATTTTGGTTTAATTAAATAAAATTCGGTGAAAATTGAATACAATTTTTGTTAAATGACCAAAAATTTTGTTGAATTAATTTGATATTATGAATAAATATTTGACGAAATATAATATATTTTTTACTTTTTAGCTAAACTTTGGTTAAATTAACTAATCTTTTTCTAATTAGATTAAAATAGTAGTAGTTGGCAAAATTTTTGGTAAAATAAGCAAAAATTTGGCTAAATAGACTAAAATTTTTGTTCGCATTTAGCCAAAATTTAGCTGCATTTACTTTCTTTGTTAAAATAAACACATTTTTGTTTGCAATTGATTAAAATTTTGGTATAATAAACCAAAATTTGGTTAAAAAAACTTTATTTTTTGTTTAATTAGCCTAAAATTTTGTAAAATAGACTAAATTCTTTGTTAAATTTAACATACTTTTCTTTGTAGTTGACTAAATTTTTGGTAAAATAAACAAAAATTAGGCTAAATAAACCGAATTTTTGATTCCTTTAGCCAAAATTCAGCTCCATTGACTAAATTAATTTGAAATTGACCGAAATTTTTTACATGCTAAATGTGCCATTTATTTAGCCAAAATTTTTGTCTAAATTTTACCATATTATGCAAAGTTTCGTTACTGAATTATAATTTTCATAAATGATTTTATTTTCTTCATATAAATTTATGTATATATACATGTATAAATATTTTAGGGAAATTAGTATTAAAAAAAATAGAGCATGACGACGACGAAATGGAACTTACGAAACTTTTATAGAGTTTGTATCTAAAAGGGAATCTGAAAGTCTAGTTTTCCTCTTATTTATTAATAATCCACTGAATCCTAAATAGAGATCCTCTTTTGCCCATGTTTCATTTTTATTTACTCCCTGCTCATAATCGCCACCTGTAACTATAGAAAATAAAAAACTATTAATAATATTGCAAAAAAAAAAAAAATATATTAACATAAAATGAAAAAAAAAATTATTTTATTCCGAGTTTAGAAAAATATGATTTTCTATTTACTCGTATGAAAATAAGTTTTAGAAAAATGTAAATTTGATTTAAAAATAGGGTCAATTGGGGTAAATGTAAACGGAATATCTATTTTCACCAAAAACATTAGTTTTTTTTTGTTAAAAGGTAAAACGGTCGGATTTCTTTTGCATGAACTTGTTACTAGAGTTCCCTAGAAAAATTTTATGAGGTACAGAAAAATATTGATGCACCTGAATCGCCTAAAACTGACTGTTTACATATACCCCGAGATTTTGAAATTTTGGTAAAAAGAAGTTTTTTTTTATTTTGCTAAATAAGAATCTAAAATCGAATTTTTAAATTTCAAAATGGTGGATCCAATATGGCGGATGAACCTAAAAATATTTTTAAAAATTGATCAAATTTTCAAAAAAAAAATTTTTTTTTTTATTAAATTTTTTTTTTTAAAGAAGGACCTAATTTTCTTTTCTATGTAATTTTACATTGACAAATTAATTAAATTGTGAAATAGAAGCAAATTTATTCAATTCTTTTCTTTTAAAATGCAGTTCAAGTTCTGTTTACATTTACCCCGAGTTTTCGAATTCTCGAGGTAAATGTAAACACTTAATTATTTATTAACTAAATTGACGAAAATCAAAAATCAAAGTCAATTTTTGTTAGGGCATTAATAAGGAAGAATTACATATTTTTGTTTGATTTTTTAATTTATTTTTATGCAAATGCGAGACAAAATACTGAAACAGTAAAACTTTGATTTTCAATCTTTTTTGCATTAAAAGATAACTTACACTATGGCATTGCCAATATTGTCAAAATAAAATATTGGCAATACTCAGAACATCTTGTAGGTGAGCTGAGGTAAAAATATTGACGTCGTACTTATTTTTAAATTTGTAAATTTAGCTGAAACATCTACTGTTTACATTTACCCCTTGTTTACATTTACCCCAAATGACCATAAAGATTGTAATTATAATTGTATTCTTTAATTTTATTTTTAAATTTTTAATTTTAAATTTAAAAATTTTAAATTTTATTTTAATTTAAAATTTTTAATTTTTAATTTTAAAATTAAAAATTTTATTTTTAATTTAAAAAGTTTATGGAAACTGTAAAGTGTTTTGTGAATAGAGAAGCAAAAAAAAGTTTTCTGATGGAAAGATTTAATTCTCTTTCTAAAAACTTGGCGAGCTACTGATAAATCATCTCTCCTCTCTACATTTATGGTCGACATATAACTTTTTAAATATTGTCTTTGTTCAGGAGGAGAACTTTGCCTTAAGAGTGCTAATTCGCATAGCACTTTCTTTTCTCCTTGGGAGAAATTCTTTTTTTAACAAATAAAAAAGCAATAATAAAATAGAACAATAATAAATCTTATTAATTGTAGGTGAAAAAAAATTTTGGATCAGAATTTTCTAAATGTTTTATTATTTTGCAAATGTTCTTTAATAGAGGTAGGTATTAATTTCTTATGTTTTTACCTTTTTTTTTTAATTTTTCAAAGTTGTAAATTTTTAAAAATCAAAATTGAAAATTTTTTTGAAAATTTTTAAAAACTCAATTTTTATTAGAAAATTCTACGAGAATTCAATTATTTAAATACAAAAACAAATAATTTATTCAATAATTGAATGTTTATTTTTTATTAAAATTTAATTATTGACAAGAATTTTTCAAAAAAGGTTTGAAAATAATTTAATTTCTGCAAAGTATTTTATAACTTTTCAAAAAAATTTGATTTCTTGTGATAAAATTTGATATTTATGAAAATAATTGAATTTCGGAAAAGAATTTTATTAAAATTCCTTAAAATAATTGATTTTATGGGGAGAATTTCGTTGTTTAACAATTGATTATAATAATTGAATTCTTTTGCAGAATTTACTTAAAAATTTTTGAAAATAATTGATTTTCTGAGACGAATTAAAAGTTATTTATGAAAATAATTGAATTATTGTAACGAATTTTATTATTTTATTGAATAAATGAATTTTTCTTAAATTTGATCAAAAATTCAATTCTTGTTTATATATAATAAAATATATATAATAATTTTAATGAAAATAGTAAATATTAAAAATCATTGAATTTAAATAAAACTTTTTTGAAAATAATTGAAATTTTGCAAAGAATTTTATTTAGATTTTTGAAAAAAATAATTATTGAATTTTTGGCGAAAAATTTTGATATTTATAAAGATAATTGATTTCTTGATGAGATATTGGTTAAAATTTGTAAAAGTAATTGAATTTCTTCGAAGAATTTTATTACTTTTGAAAATAATTAAATTCTTGTGAGATGAATATTGTTATTTATGAAAATAATTGAATTTTGCAAAGAATTTTTTTTTACATTCCTAAAAATAATTAAATCTTTGTAAAGAATTTTTTTTTTATCAAGATAATTGCATTAAAACTTTTGAAATAAATAAATAATATTAAAAAATTCATTTTGGTAAGAAATAGAAAAAATTTTGAAGGTTTGTATTAGAATTCGTGGTGGTTTCATAGTTTATGGGCTAACAAAAAGACACAAAATTTAAAGACTTAAAACCTAGGATTTAAGACGTAAAACTTAATATTTAGAACCTAAGATTGAAGTCATAAAATTTAAGATTTAGAACCTAGGATTTAAGACGTAAAACTAAAGATTTAGAACCTAAGAATCAAGTCGAAAATTTTAAAACTCAAAACTTAGGATTTAAAACGTAAAACTTAATATTTAGAACCTAAGATTGAAGTCATAAATTTTAAGATTTAGAACCCAGGATTTAAGACGTAAAACTTAAGATTTAGAACCTAAGACTTCAGTCATAAATTTTAAGATTTAGAACCTAGGATGTAAGACGTAAAACTTAAGATTTAGAACCTAAGATTCGAGTAAAAAATTTTAAAACTATAACCTAGGATTTAAGACGTAAAACCTAAGATTTAGATCCTAAGATTCAAGTCGAAAATTTTAAAACTCAAAACTTAGGATTTAAAACGTAAAACTTAATATTTAGAACCTAAGATTAAAGTAAAACATTTTAAGATTTAAAACCTAGGATTTAAGACGTAAAATTTAAGATTTAGAACCTAAGATGAAGTCATTAATTTTATGATTTGGAACCTAGGATTTAAGACGTGAAACTTAAGATATGGAACCTAGAATTTAAAACGTAAAACTTAAGATTTAGAACCTAAGACTTTCAAGACAAATATTAAGATTTAGAACCTAGGATTTAAGACGTAAAACTTAAGATTTAGAATCTAAGATTTTCAAGACAAATTTTAAGATTGAGAACCTAAGATTTTCAATACAAATTTTAAGATTTAGAACCTAAGATTGAAGTCATAAATTTTAAGATTTAGAACCTAGGATTTAAGACGTAAAACTTAAGATTTAAAATCTAAGATTTTCATGACAAATTTAGAACCTAGGATTTAAGGCGTAAAACTTAAGATTTAGAACCTAGGATTTAAGACTTAAGATTTAGAACCTAAGATTTTCAAGACAAATTTTAATATTTCGAATCTAGGATTTAAGACGTAAAACTTAAGATTTAAGAAGTAAGACTTAAGACGAAAAACCTAAGATTAGAGCCTTATCGAATAAATTAAATAAAAAATGTTTGTTATTGTCTATTTTATTTTCTATATATAGATATATTTTTTTTGAGAGATACAAATAGCATTTTATGGATAATTTAATGTGACAAAATTAGAGTACAATGCATGGACACCGTAATTCGTAAATCTTGTAAGCATGTAGGTCTCTGGGTTACTTATATCCTACGGATCGTTCTGCTACATGATAAAATAAGTCGCGTTAAGATGCGATTACTGCAGTGTGTGAACTATGTTAATTAAATACATAGTTACCACTTCTTTCAATAATTAACGTCTCATTTTCACTAAATTTAAGAGTTCAAAGCCACTTTTTATCTTTCACATTCATTAACATAATATCAAAATACAATAAATCGAGATACTATTTTTTTAATCGAAAATAAATTAATTTTTCTCACTTTTAAACTTACAAACTTTAATTAAATTTTAATTATTTTTTTTTATTGTTAACACTTAAAGGAAAATCAATCAAAGTTTGGCTAAATAGACATAATTTCTGGTTTAGTTAGAAATTTAACGGAAGTTTGACTAAATTTCCTATAGGATAGATTTTTAATATTATGAAACAAAATTCGGCTAAATATCAATAAAGATGAAAAAGTGTATTTGAATTGACTAATAATTTTCGATTCGATTAGACAAAATTTTGCAAAATTGATCGAAAATATATTTTTAAATGAACCAAATTTTGGCTTAATTTATTAAATTTTTGCTGCATTAGTTCAAATTTGGTTGAGTCGACTTTATGACAATTGGATCAGAATTTGGCAAAATTTATTAAAATTGTTTTTTTTACCTAAAATTTTGCTAAATTACTAAAAATCATGGTTTAATTAAACAAAATTTGGCTCAATTTAGTAAATTTTTATATACAAAGAGTTAAAATTTGGCTGAAATGACTAAACTTTTTGACAAATAGATCAAAATTTGTCTAAAATTATAACAAATTTTCTCTATTTAAAGCAAAAATTTGGCTGAATTAATGAAAAGTTTTATTACTAATTTAATCAAAATTTGGCTAAATTTACTAAATTTTTGTTCAATTGCTTCAAATATGGCTGAATTGGCTAAACATTACGACAAATGGACTAGAATCAAGCTAAATTGATTAATATAATGGGTTATTCAGCCAAAATTTGGCTAAATTTAGACTTAAGGCTGGTATTTTTCTTCAATTAGTTTTAAAATTTGACTGAACGGGCTAAATATTTTAACAAGTTGTCTGACTATATAGCTTAATTAACCAAAATTAGATTGAATTTACCAAATATTTGGCTGAGTTTTTAAATATTTTTTAAAAAATGTTGAAATTATTACTTTAATTCACGAAATCAGTGAAAATTTGGCTTATTTGGCTAAATTTTTTGTTAAATGCCCCTAAATTTAGACAAACTTTTTATAAATTTTTCTTTAATTTTCAAAACTTAGCATAGCCTTTAGTCAAATTTTTGCTAAATTTTGATTAACCAACATTTGGTTGAAATTATTAAAATTTTTGGTAAATTTGCCAAAATTTGCGGCTAAACTGTTTTAAAATCATTGTTTAATTTTAAAAAAGTTTAGTATTAATTAGCCAAAATTAGCAAAAATAAATTTTTTCTAAATTTTTGACATTTACAAGAAATTACAAAAATTTTTATTAAATTTTCCAAAAATAAATAAATATTGGCTAAATATTGTTAAATATCATTTTTGAATATTTTTAAAAATTTTGCCTTTGTTTACTGAAATTTTGGTTTAATTACCAAAAATTCGATTGAATTGACTAAATTTTTAGTTAATATTACAAAAGTTTTTTCAGAATTTCTTTAAAATTAAATTATTGTTTACTTATTATCTCTGTTATTTACTGTTCCTATGTAAAGATAAACAATTTAAAAATAAAAAATCATGAAAACTATTATCTCAATATATTTTTTTAATTCATTATTTATTTATTATTTGTATACTTAATTTTTAATGTAAAAAATACTGAAATTATTGATAATAAATTTTTTAATTATTTAAATTTACTAAAAGAAAATTAAAACATTTGTATAATATAATAATAAATATATTTTAGTAAATATAGGTAGTAATAAATATAATTTATGGTAATAAAAAAATAAAAAATTGTAATAAATAAAACTAATAATTAAATTTGAAAAATTGACAAAATTTGTTATTAATAAATTTTGTCAATTTTTAATTATTTGTTACTTTTTTTAATTATTATTATTAATTTTCCCGGGATTTTTCATTAAATGAAAAATCCCGGGAAAATTAAAAAGAATGATTAAAAAAGTAATAATTAAATAATAATAAATTAAATTAAATAATAAATTTTATTGATATAATTATATACTATGACTATTATAATTATAATTTTTTTTTAAATTTCCTACCTCTTATAACGTTGAGAAAAATGACGACAGAAAAAATAATTGAAATGAAATTTTGCTTGAATCCAATTATTGATGATGATGATGATGATTTTCGTACAAAACGCACCTGTTCGCAATCAAAATTGATTGCAACAGTTTTCTGCGTTTGACACATTGAACACAATCACAGCACATCCCTCATCGATGTCATCGAATTTTCACATTCAACAACAATAACAATAATAATAATTTCAAATCTTCTTCAAGTCCATTAATTTCTTTCTTTATCACTTCACAACTCATTCTTAAAGATAATTTTTATTTTTACGATTTCTCTTCTTTGTAATTTGGAAAAATTATTTTCCTTCTTCGTAAATATTGGAGGAAAAAAGTTTTTTATTTTTTTATTTTCAATCAACAATTAATGAAGAAAGAATGAAAGAAAAGAAGAAATGGAAAATGTTTATTTTATTTTCATTTTTTTGGTTGTAAATGAAAGAGATTGGAAGAATATAATCCTATCGTGGAAAATGCTGACGATGAACTGACCGTGTATACCAATTTTATGAAATGTTTTTTCAAAGAATTATTCCTTCTTCTTGTTTCTTCTCCTACCATGGGAGAAATGTATCCATGAAGCTCACTTCTCTTCGCACTTTTGGCATAACCCTGACATCTCTCCTGAATATTCACTAATACATTGACAGTGGAGTGCAGAAAGATATAAACGCAAGGGGGGTTATTGTGTTACACTTTCACTGCGAGCTGCGCCTTTATGGATATAATAGTAGTATTGACACAACCCTTCTCTTCTTTAAAACTCGTTACACTTCTTATTCCCACTTAAAGGTGCCAATTTTTCCTTTTTTTTCCATTTATTTTCATTCATAAATTCTTTTCTGTTATTATTTTAATTAACTTATTTATTTACGATTATTTAATAATTTACCATATTTGTTTATTTTATTTGTTTTTTATTTCTATTATTTATTTTAAATATTGCTTTTCATTTGCCTACTTTATTTTATATCTTTTATTATTTGCCTACCATATTTTTTTATTTTATTCAATTCTAATTCCAATTTAGTGGAATTATTTAAAGGAGGGAGTATGAGAAAGGGTGGGGAGAATCAGTGTCGTTTCGTTTTTGTTTATTTTATTTTAATTATTTCTTTCTATTTTCTATTTTCCTATTTTATTTTTTTTTATTGATTTATTACCATATTTTTTACATATTTTATTCAATTTTAATTCCGATTTAGTGGAATTTTTTATAGGAGAGAGTAGAAGAAAAAGTGGAGAGAATCAGTGTCATTTCGTTTTTGTTTATTTTATTTTAATTATCGGTTTCATTTCATTTATTTTATTTTAAATATATTTCTTTTTATTTTTTATTCATTTATTTACCATATTATATATGGTCCCATCTATATAATTATATATTAAAATAAATGAAAAAAAATATTCCTTCTATTTTAATTCTCTTAATTTAATTCTTTCATTTTCTATTTGTCTAATTTATTATCTTTATTTCAATTTATTTATTAACTTATTTTTTGTTTTAATCAATTTGAATTCCGATTAAGTGGAATTATTCAAAAGAGGGGGTATATATGACAGAGTGGGGAGGATCAGTTTTATTTTATTTTTATTTAATTTTAAATATTTTTTTTATTTGTTATTTATTTTCACTTTATTTTTATTTTATTTATTTTTATTTTCTATTAATTCATTTAATTTAAATTCTAATTTCATTCACTTATTTATTTATTTTTATTTTATTTACTTTTGTGTTATTCACTACTTACATTTATTTATCTTTTCTTTTTTCAATACCAATTTAGTAAGAAAATCGGTGATTGTAATGATGAGTTTTGCTCTATTTTTATTTATTTATTTACTTTTTACTTTCATTTATTTATTCGCTTTTTTAATTCTGAAATAGAGAAATTTTAATAAAAGAGTAGAAGATTATTTTTTTCTTTATTTATTTTCATTTGTTTGTTTTTTATTTGTTTTGTTTAAATTTATTTTAAATTATTGATTTAATTTATTTTGTTTATTTTTTTTCATTTGTTATGTTTATTTTTACATTATTTGTTTTGTATGTATTTTTTATTTACTAATATCTGTTTATTTATTTATTTTGTTTATGTTTTGTTGTTTATTTTTTAATTTTTTAATTATCTTTTCTTTATCAGTTTTGCTTATATTTTTTATTTATTTTTGTTTGTTTAGGGGAGAGTAGGGCAAACCGGACCCCATAATGGTTTTTTGACTCTTGTGACTAAACGAATTAACCGATTTCATTTTTCGATGGCTTGTTTGAAAGATCATTTAATTGCGCAACTTTCTCCCAGAGACACCTATACTTTATCTTTTATTGTTTAGTTGCTGTATTAACTTTAAAAAATTTTGCAAACGGTCCGGTTTGCCCCACCCCCTGGGGTAAACCGGACCGTTTGGTTTTTTATTTATAATATTGCATTTACATAATCTACAATAATAAAAAGCATAAAGAATCATGTAAACAATGGTTGTAGTAATGAAAATAATAATACGGAATTGAATTTTAATTAAACAAATATTTTTTTTAATAAAAAAATAAAAATGTTTGTCATTATCAGAGAAACAATATTAAAGGGTCCAATTCTCATTGGAAGACAATTATTTTTCATTGCAAGTAAATATTTTAATGAAAGAAACATTTTATTTAAAAATAATTTTTATGAAACTTTAATTGAATGGAAATATCCTATGGCCGGTTTGCCCCACCGAGAACGGTCCGCTTTACCCCACAGGCCCATTTTGAGAATAAATGTTTGTCAAAAAGAAACGCTTTGCAAATTCATCAAAGTTTTTGGTGATAAATATTCCTGAGGTGTGTACCTTCAAAACCTAAGACCTAATATTTGGAAACATTACACAATTTCCTCAGAATTTCCTTAAGAAAAAATTAGTAAAAGTGTAGAAAAAAACTTTAAAAAAAAAACTTTTGCTCCCTTCGTCGCACAAACGCAAGCTAAAACTGTCAAATTGAAAAAAATATAAGCTATACTAAACATGGTTGTTTTAAATTTGTAAACAACACTTTTTCCAATTTCGCCATTTCGGAAATGTTGAGAGGGGTCCGGTTTACCCACCGGTCCGGTTTGCCCCACTCTCCCCTACTTATTTTTCAATTGTTTTGTTGTTATTTTATATTTATTTTTATCTCGTTTTTATTCGTTTCTTTTATTTTCCTTGTTTTTTATTTATCTTTGTTTACTTTTTATCATTTAATTTATTTTCATTTTTTATTTACTTTTATTTGTTTATTTATTTACATTTTTTTATTTGTTTTATATTTGTTTAATTTTTTAATTTTCTTTTTTTTTTATTTGTTATGTTTTTTTTAAATATATTTTTCAATTGTTTTGTATGTAATTTTTTAATTATTTTTTTTTTGTTTATTTATTTTGTTTGTTGTTTATTTTTATTTTTTTATTGTTTGTTTTGTTTGTATTTTTTATTTACATTTATTTACTTTTATTTGTTTTGTTTGTTATATGTTTATTTTTTTATTGTTTGTTTTGTTTGTATTTTTTATTTGTTTATTTATTTTTATTTGTGTCTTTATTTATCTTTATTGGTTTTTTTATTTAGTTTCTTTTTTAATTACATTTGTTTATTGATTTTATTTTCTTAATAATTTGCTTTGTTTGTTATGTTTATTTTTTTATTGTTTGTTTTGTTTCGGTTTTTTATTTACTTTTATATTTGTTTATTTATATTATTTTGTTTGTAATTTCTATTTATTTTCATTGGTTTATTTATTTTCTCTTATTTTTTTTTACTTTCATTTTTTTATTTATTTCGTTTTTTTATAATTTATTTTTTTATTTGTTTTATTCTTATTTTTTATTTACATTTATATGTTTATTTTTTATTTTATTTACATTTATTTGTTTATTTTTTATTTTATTTACATTTATTCGTTTATTTTTTATTTTATTCACATTTTTTTTTAAATTTAGTTTTGTTTATTTTGCATTTTTTAATTTCCTTTTATTTATTTTTATTTCTTTATTTAGTTTAATATTTTTTCTTTTATCACATTTTTTTCATTTGTTGTTATTTTATTTTTCTTTAATTCTAATGTAGTGGAACTATATAAATAATAAGAGGGGGGGGGGGGGGAAGAAAAAAATGATAGGGGTAGTCAATCTATACTTTTTATTTCATTATTTTTTTTCCTGAATTCCGCTTTAGTGGAATTAGATAAAGAAGAGGGGAGGGGGTGAATAATTCTTGTGGGGGGAATCAATCCGGTCACTATATCGTAATTCATTCAAGAATTTTGACCTGATTTTATTTTCTTTGCATACACATAAAACTTATAGAATGTGAGACACTTTCTATGTACTAAGTCACTTGAGGAGAGATAATAATATTTAAAAGAAGAAAAAAAAAATAGGTGCATGAGACTTGCATATTACAAAACCTGCAATTCTTTTTTTTCCCTCTAGTTACCACGAAGTAATATTGACCGCTGTTATGTCTTGTCTTTATACACTTCCTTGAGATATTTATAGTGTACACAATGTGTAAACTTTTGAACGATAATAATCTTTACTCATTTTTTTTACTATCTTTATATTCGTTGGCACTCAAGAGACCCGGGAAGATTTTCTGTTTCTTTTTAAATTTTCAAGAGATCTACTTTTCTCATTATCTTCATTTGTTTTTCAGTGTTCATTTATTTTTTAATGTTTCCTTTTACAATAAAAGAAAACTATTTTTTTTATGTAATTTTTGAAAGGGAAAATAAAAGTGATCTTTTATTTCTTTTTGTATCTAGCTTCCGATTATTTTTTTTGTGTATGGATATTGATCAATTTTAAAAAGTTAGAGTTACAAAAAATATTTCTTCCAAACAGTTTTAATTATAAAAAATTTTTTTTTCGCATCTTTTAGAAAATATTTTCTCCATTTTGGATTTGCAAAAAGAAGACAATTTTTTCGTTAGTTCCTTTTTTTAATATATTTACATATACATAAAGAAGTTTTGTAGACAAGGTCGTTCGTCTATCAAGGTCGTTCAGTTTCAAAATGAACTTTGTGCATCTAATTATTAGACGATTACGATTTTTGATACTTTATACATTTAACTGGTTAATTATCAGTTTGTTATTGAAATACAAAAATATTTCTTTTTTCTCATAAATACAGAAATGTTGAGAATTTTGTTTTTGTAATTTCACTGTTCTTTTTCTTTTTTCCTTGCACAACTCACAATGTCCATATTGTAATTTAAATTTTAAATCATGTAAATCTTTTTAAACTTTTATTCTTTGCAATTTTTACATTTTT